ATTTGTGGATAGATATTGTTTAAATCTGTTTTTTTTTTCGACCACCAATGGTACTTTATTCTGGAAATTTCTATGTATTACATAGGTATTAACATCCTTCCTCTCAGCCCCACACCCCCTGCACATCCAGAAAGATAAAAAAAAAAAGATGTCCTGTATAAAATCTTCTTACCAACTCTCTCTAAACCCTGAAGAGTGTCCCTGTGTGTGAGCGAGCCTCTGGAAGGATTGGCCTTGTGCTCAGGACTGCCAGTCCTTCCCGGGGGCAAATGGTCAGTGCTCCTGCTTACTCTTCCAGATCCATTTCTCAATCATTACACATTAGCATTCCCCACTTGACACCTCCTTAGCAAGTTTATTGCTGGATGCATTTTTCATTTGGCAAAAATTCAATATGGCTTTGCGTGGGATGTTTAGTGTCAGAAGCGGCGGTGTTGATGCTCAGGCTCTGCGGGGAAATAGAGAGCCTGTGTATTCCTGGAAGAGCACATGTCGGAGGCTGAAAGGGCTGTGCAGTTACCGCCTCATCAACACCGCCTGCTTCTCAAGTCTGTGACATTGGCCGGAATACAAAAGCCCCCAAGTACGACCCTCTGCCTCCTTCTGTTCCGGGTTGTTGGAGTAGGTATCCATGACACCGACACAAGGCACACTATGGCATCGGAAGATGGCTCCCTGGGACCATCTTAGAAGACCTGGGTGTGCCCGAGACAGCATCCCTCTACCCAGAAGAGTATGCCTTAAGGATCTTCACATCATCCACGGGCCTGTCCTGGGAGTTTGTCTCCACCATGCCCACTCAATTCACCATCCCTATGCCCTCGCACACGCGGCCAAAGATGGTGTGTTTGCCGTCCAGGCACTGGGTGGGAGCGAGGGTCACGAAGAACTGGCTGCCATTGGTGTCTGGTCCTGCATTGGCCATCGCAAGGATCCCAGCCCCAGTGAACTTCAGGTCTGGGTGAAGTTCGTCCTCAAACTGTTTGCCGTAGATAGATGCGCTACCTCGACCTGTCCCTGTCGGGGTCACCGCCCTGGATCATGAAGTCCTTGATGATCCTGTGGAATTTGGTGCAGTTGTAGTAGCCCCAGCCAGCCAACTCTGCAAAGTTCTGGCAGGTCTTAGGCGCATGCTTCCAGTACAGCTCCAACACAATGACCCCCATGCTAGTCTCCAGGTAGACTTTGGGTGGCTGCCAGGTGTCGGGGGGATCGCCACCACCATGAGCAAAAGTAGCCTAAATCTGGTTTTACCATGGAATATTTTGTTTACTCCGTCTATGTTGATTGACCGTTTTGCTGGGTATAATAATCTGGGTTGGCATCCATGGTCTCTTAGTGTCTGCATAACGTCTGTCCAGGACTTTCTGGCTTTTCTCTATCATATCTTCAATGCCAGAGATCCGCTCTTCTGTATCTTGCAATCTGTTGGTTATGCTTGCATCTGTAGTTCCTATTCATTTACTCAGATTTTCCACTTCCAGCAGTCCTTAGGTTTGTGTCTTCTTTGTTGTCTTCAGTTTTCAAATCTTGAACTGTTTCCCTCACTTG